AGGGGAAGACAATCTATAACACAAAACAAGCGTTTCGCTCGAGACATCCTCAACAAATTCTGACAAACAAGCGTTTCGCTCGCGACATCCTCACAATTTAATTCGCCGGCCCACCTCGACCTCGATATTTATCGCAAAAGAAATTCGCCGGCCACCTCAAGTCAAACGCGGGGGTAAACCCACTAAAAGAGAACCCTGGGCCTAAGCCCTTTCCGGGAAAAAACCAAAACAGGCTGTAAATCTGACGAAAAAAATATTCAACAAATCGCCCCCAGACTGTGTTGTGACTATTCTTGAACACTTCTCTTGTAGAGGGACACGCCCGACTCAACGGCACCGCCTCGCTCGCCATCGCTCGGACGTCCGTTCTCCGTGCACTGTGCGGTCTGGTGCAAAATGGCCCAAGAGTCTCCCCGATGGTCCTCGCCGAGAAAAGATGCACACGCCCGAACGATGCCGTCGTCGTCGTCTTTTTCGTCGTCGTCGTCGTCCCCTCCTCTCCCTCCTCCGCATCCTCCGCCTCCGCCTCCTCCTCCCCTCCTCCTCCTCCTCCTCCTCCTCCTCCTCCTCCTCCTCCTCATCATCGTCATCATCATCATCAGCATCAGCATCATCATCATCATCAGCATCAGCATCATCATCATCATCATCATCATCATCATCATCATCATCATCATCATCATCATCATCATCCCTTACTTCCTTCCTTCCTTCCTTCCTTCCTTCCTTCCTTCTTTCCTTCCGTTCCCTCGAGGCGGCCCGCGGTCGGGGCGCCCGCCTTGCCGGGCCGCCCGGCGCGAGCTCTTACTCTTTCCGCGGGCGGGCCACCTAGCGCCCAGCCCCCGGCTGGCCCTCCCCGCGGCCAGGGGGGCACAGCCTGGCGCCCGACGCTGCCGCGGGGGGCCCCTGCCTGCCGGCCCCCTGGGGAGGGGGCCCCCCGGTGGACCCCCCAGCGTCTGTCAGACGAGCGCCACTCGGGGGCCACCTCGGGCAGCCCCGCTTGGGGCGGGCGGCTGCGCGGCAGGTGCTCTCGCCAGAGCGGGGTGGGAAGGGCACTGCTATTGGCCGCGGGGACCACTGGCCCCAAACACCCGAAGACGCCCCCGATGGCACCCGGGGGCGGCCCACTCCCGGAGAAGCGCGCCAGCGCTACGCCGAACGGAGTAGGCCACCCCTGGGTGCCCACCGGCAGCCTCTAAAGCCGCTGAGATTGACGCAGGCCAGAGGGGGGGGACACGAGATGCCCGAATCGGGCGTACCTCCGGGTAGGAAGTACACCCGCTTGGCAGCCCGTCGGCAGGGTCAGGTCCCAGGGGGCGGGCACCGGGGGGGCAGGGCGGCCCAGGAGGCGGGTGGGCCATTGGGGGGTGTTTTCGGCGCCACTTGCGCCACTCCTTGCAACCCCGCTCTAGCTATACTGGGGGGGCTGCGCGGCCGTCTCCGCGGCCGCCTCGAGCCGGCGCGCCTCCGCAGGCGTGAGGGGGCTGCGGGCCCAGCCTGCTGCCATCGGCCCCCCGCGCGCCAGCGCTGCCGCAGCCTGAGGGCACTGCTCCAGGTGGGCGGAGGTCTCCAGCGATGTGCCGCAAAACCGGCACACGGCCACCGCTCCAGGTGGCGTCGCGGAGGAGGGCGCCCTGCAGGGCGAGGCGGGCCCACGCTGGGCAGCGTGGCCCCCTGCTGGCTGAGCTCGTCTGCCGTGGCTCCGCTGCCCGCTGGTCGCTGGAGGGCGTCCTGTTGCGCTGGTTGGGCCAGCCACGCTTGCTCCTGCGCGCGTGCCGCGGCCCGCACCTGGCTCCGAAATCTGCCCACAGCAGCCGGCCCTGCCTGCGCATCAGGGGGTCTGGGGACGCCCCAGCGTATCATGAGCTGGCTGACGTAGCGCGCCCAGGTGCCAGACGCGTCCTGGGCGAGAGCCAAGACCGCCTTTGCCTCGGCGTATCTTGGATCCGTCTGCGTGCGGCTGAAGAGCCGGATCGCGCGTTCCTCGATGAGCGTCGAAAGCCGCATTGGCCACCCTGCGTGTCGGAGGAGGGCTCGCGGAATGGGTCGGCGCACGCCGAAGGCCTCTCGGGCCCACCACTCTTGAATGCGATTGAGCGTCGGCCCGAACCCCGCCGCGTGGATGCACAGCTCCGCCCCATACACGGTCTTCGGCCGGGTGCAGGCCGCGAGGCCGAGGAGGAGCTCATGCAGCGCGAACCCCAGTTGGCTCATCGTCTGCACGCGCCGCCGCCCTACCCCGCCCGCCGCCCTGTCCATGGCGGCAAGGTGCGCTCTGCCGGGCTGCCCGGACGAGCGCAACATGCCCAAGCTCTGGCACTCGTCGACGAAGAAGACCCCATGGGTGGGCCTTGTGTCCACGAAGCCCCGGGCGAGGATCGCCGTCTTGGTGGGGCCGTAGCGGAGGTGCCCTCGGTGGCGGCGGGCCGCCTCCTGGAGGGCGTTGACCACCACTCCGCACTGGGCTCGCGAGCTGGCCTTGCCGCGGACGTCATCAACG